CGCTCTCCATCCTTCCCTCCTCCATCCATGTTGCCCAGGGAGGCTGTGGCTGCCCCAACCCTGGCAGTGTTTCATTCCAGGTTGGATGAGCCTTGAGCAACCTGCTCTGGTGGGAGGTGTCCCTGCCCAGGGCAGGGGTTGGGGCTGGGTTATCTCTGAGCTCCATTCCAACCCTTTAACATACTATGAAACTATCTTTCCCTCTCCATTCTCCCCCTCTCCATCCCTGCTCTATCCTTCTCTCTTTACCCTTCCCTGTGGCTCTTGCCAAATTCATCACCAGTTTAAGATCTCAACCTTAAGAACTCAGGACCTGAGGGAACAGCTGGAGCTGTGTCAGGGGAGGGTTAGGTTGGATATCAGGACAAGGTCCTTCCCACAAGGGTGTTTGGGCATTGAACAGCTCCCCAGGGCAGTGGGCACAGCCCCAAGGCTGACAGAGCTCCAGGAGTGTTTGGCCAATGCTCCCAGGCACAGGGTGGGTTCTTGGGGTGTCCTGTGCAAGGACAAGAGTTGGAGTTGATGATCCTTGCATGTCCTTTCCAGTTCAGGATAATCTGTGATCCTTCCCTCCTCCATCCTTCCCCTCAGCCTTTTCTCCTCAGAGAGCACAAGACATCACCCCACAGCCCCAGGAAAAGGAGCAACAGTCTCATCCCCACCAGAAAGGGGCAAAAAAATCACCCAAGTGCTGGAGGAGAAACAACTCGCTCACCAAAAGAATAAATAATACCTCAGAAACCAGCTAAAATCCCTCAGTCAAAGCACACAGAAGGGATTTCTATGGGATGAGAGCTTGCAGGTGTATCCTGGATGTAGACATGGGGCTGAGGCAGCAGCTTCCCTCATCCTTTCCAGTTATCCATCATCCCTGAGCTGTGTCCTGGCACAAACCCACTGTGCAAACAATCTGTATCACAGTCTTTGATCTTGATAGTGCTGGAAAAATACCCCAGTAGATGCCTTGGCCAGACAGACTTTGGCCAGCAAATCCCCAAACTCTGCCTTGGAAAGCCATCAGGAACCCTCACAGTTCTTCCCATCCCACACTGGGGCTAAGTGGTGCTTCCAGCAAGGCACTGGGTGAGGGTTTAGATATACTCAGGTGAGGATATGAACTGTAAACTTGTCCCAGTTGGCTGAGATTGGGATTTTCCCCTATTTCAGCCTTTTTCCTCTGCAGAAAATGACTGCCATGAAGGAGATATGGAGGGATGGTGTTTCTCCCCTCGTGGGATGACAACTGTCCCTAGAAGAGCAGGCTGGTTATAGTTTATCATTGCTTATAAACTCTAAATATCTCCTCTGGAGTGCAAATTTGCCTTTAAACCAGACAGTTTGGGCTATAAGCTCTCCCTTTGGCACTGCTGACACCCCAGACAGCTCTTTACACTTGATCACATTCATCTCAGGTTGATCTCCACTTCTGTGCAGCTGTTGGATGAAATCCTTTGAAACTCATTCTAAACCTCACATATGCACAAGGCATTTCACTTTCTTGGCTGCATTTCAGAGGAGAATCAGCAATGGATTCTTCAGAGATGCTAAAGCCACACGTTTAGCTGCTGAGGTGGAACCTGCAGCTCCGATCAGAGAAGTTGGTGCCCCATCTTCAAGCTGCCAAAAGGTTTAACAGAACCAGATGTCAGACATGGATTTAAAGGGTTTAGAAGGAATTTGGGCTTCTAGTTTGAAACGTACCACTGGGATGGGAGAAAGAGTCAGAGCATACCCAACACACCAGGCTGACTCTCAGCACAGTGTGCTAAGAGGACTCAGACTCAGCTCTAATATTGTGCCAAAGCTAAGGGATTAATTCTGCTTATTTGACTCCAGTGCAGACAAAACCATGAAGGTTCTATTTCGGGTCAAACCTAAACAGTTTAGTTGTATTGCCTCACTTGGCTTAGAGTCACTGAGAGACATTTGCACACTTCATCTCTACCAGCCAAATTCCTTCCCTCCTTTCCAGTCCTGCCTCACTCCTCTGGACCATGATTTCTGCATCAACTGAGCACAAACTGCTGTGTCCTCCTCATCTGGAGCAGTTTCCAGTTCCAAACCTCCTGTTCTTTGCATCCAGCTGTTCCCTTGGGCTCTGCTTCACCCCCTCAGTGCAGCAGGCACTGAGCCATGGGCTTAGCAAATGGCTTTTCCAGCTACTTGAACAACTCAGCACAGGCATTTGGGATCTGAGAAGAGCTTGTGACAGACCTTTTCTGCTGAGTGTATCATTTTGTAGGTCAGGAGGGCAAAGCATAGCCAAGGATGAGGTCACCAGGTGTGTTTCATGTGGTGAAGTTGATGGCTCTGGCAAACCAAAGAGGTGATTGGAGAAGATACCACTCCACCAGCAGCAGGTACAAGTGAAATGTTGAACATCCAGGTTGATTTCTTTTGTGTCTTCCAGTTGATTTGCAGAGCTTCAGCTTGGATCTGAATGAGCAGCAACCCTTGCATGACTCTCAAGCATCAGGCTGTAGAAGAGGGTTCTGAGAGGCTTCTAAAGAGGAGGATCCAATCCAAATGTCTCTTGAAATCCTCTTCACTAGATTTCCACCACTTTTTGGTATCTCTCCAGTTACCTGAGCTCTGGAGCTGAATGGAGGTTCCAGACAGCTTCTCCCTCAGTAGTGAAGGACACAGAGGATTTGGTTGGGTTATGGGAATTTTGCTTTAACATTTGCCATGGCATAAAGAACCTCCAAATTCCAATGGATGGAATCATTGGGATTGCACTTTATTAGGAATCTATTTTTTTTGTGGCAAGGTTAATTGTCTTGATTTTCTGAGTGTATCTGAATGGATCCTCCCGAATCCAAGCCACTCTACTGCCTCACCCTGTGAGGATGTTTGTAGATGAAGTTTGGTTGGAGAAAAATCATCCAAAAAAAATCATCAAAACCAACAAAAATTCAGCAAAACAAGTGGAGTTGTCCCTGCTTTTATCCTTCAGGTGAAGCAACAAGGGATGACACCAAGGCAGAGAAGGAGGAGCATTGAAAACAAACTGTGCATGGCCAGAAAGAAACCCTAGAGAGACACAGGGTAATGCTTGGATAAATCATCTCTGGTTATCGGCAACAGATGCCTGAGCTGAGCTTGGGGCCTCACTGTGTGATAAAGGACAAGCACTGCCAGCAGCAGAGCTTTGAGCAGCCCTAAATTAGGGCAACAGTGCCCTGAGCCCTCCCTACAAGAAGAATTTGGGGTGTCTAGAGGATTTGTTGACCCATTCATAAGTGGTTCCCCTTGGAATGTTCCTCAGAGGACAAGAGAAGCAGCTGGAGAGCTGCTGGGGGGCCTGGAGAATGGAGATCTCTAGAACTGTTGTGTGTGTTCCTCCAGTGAAAGGACTACAAATCCCTCCAGGAAGGGCTGAGGGTGTGGGAAGCTGGTAGGTTTGACTGCCCAGAGAAAAGGCCTAATGGACCCAGTGGAAGGTGATGCTGAGGAGATTCAGAGAGCAAATTTAACCAGGTGAACCATTAAACATGGCCAACAAATGATGCTGGAAGTGCAGATTTTGGAATTACATCAACTGCTGCTTTATCAGTTCAGCCAACAGGGGAAAAACATGGAAAAATCTCCTGTTTGTCTGAGCCTGAAGCAAAGGGAAACCTTTTCCTCCATATTTTTTCCTGCTTCAGCAACACCAACAATGAATATTGAATGAGTATTTTTTCTTCCCAAGGCCAAAATCATTTGATTCCAGGGAGGAACCTCTACCAACACATGAAAGGGTGGCATTAATGCCATTCTCTGATGTAGGACAGCAAAAGCAACAACTCCTCTGTCCCTGCTGAGTCAAGTGGCCACAGCTCAATTCTTCCCTCCATCTCCAGCCACTCAGCCATGTCCTGGGACAACACCCACATCCTCTTGGGTTAGGATTTACTCCCCAGAGGCAAAGAGCAACTGGTGCCAGAGCACATGGGGAGCCCAGGGAGAGTGAAGAGGCAATATTTAGGCTGTGGGAGTGGGAAGGAGGCAGCAGCTGTGAGCTCTGGCTATAAAAAGGTTGCTGCAGTGGGTCCCCTCTGAGGGGAGTGGTGGTCTCTGTCCTTCTTGATGCCATTCTAAATCTGTCATGGGGCTGAGAGTGCAGGAGGTTGTCTCTGCCACCACCAGGCTACAGCAGTTACTTCCAAGATCATCAAGTCCAGCCCTACCATGATTACTAGACCATGGCACTAAGTGCCACATCCAGTCTCAGCTTGAAAACCTCCAGGGATGGTGACTCCACCACCTCCCTGGGCAGCACATTCCAATGCCTGAGCACTCTCTCTGTAAAAAATCTCTCCCACCCTAACCCTCCCCTGGCAGAGCTTGAGTCTGTGCCCTCTTGTCCTGCTGCTGGTTGCCTGGGAGAAGAGACCAACCCCCACCTGACTCCAACCTCCTGTCAGGGAGTTGCAGAGGGTGACAAGCCAATCAATCAAGTCTGGGATGATGGGGCCAAAAGTGGCTCACAGTCCTTGTGGCAGGAGAGCAGAATGAACCATAAAGATCAGACAGAAGGTCTGAGCCTACACCTTAACATCCCAGAGGTGCAAAAGTCAGCAGATTCCCCTGGAGGTCATTGGGCATATGGAAATAGCACCAAAAACTGCAGGATTGTGGCTAAAACTAGACAAGCCAGAGCACATCAGTGTCAGTGCCCTGAGCAATGGTAAGGGGAAGGTTGTTTAGGCTGATAAAGTGAATTAATTGGGAGTACTCACACTTTCCTGGACTTTTCCTTCTGTTTAGCCAACCCCAAACTTTGCCATCTCCTTTTCTCCCCCCTAGCTGAGGCTCCTTAAAAAGCAAACAAGCCCAAAGCTCCCAGTCCCCTGTGCCCAGAGCTGTTTAATCCCAGAACTCACACCATGCTGACTTCATCCCTTGCCATTCCCAGGGATGCAAAGGAAAAGGAGCTCTGCTCCTTTAAGCTAGCAGAAAGCTTCTTTACATTCAGGTGGAGTCAAGCCTTCCTGGGCTATAAAGTTGCAGGGAGAGGCAGGGGCAGCAGCTGTTTTGCTTAGATCTTAGCAAGTCTCCAGTCTCACCATGGTAAGAGCATGTCTTGTGTTTCTAGCAGCCTAAACCTAACCTAGAGTGTCTGTCTTCCAAGTGTTCTGAGCTTCCTCACTCTTTTTTTCCTCTCCTTTCTCTTGGGGATGTTAGTTCCAAGCAGCTTTGGGTTGAGTTGCTGATTACCTTCTGCCTTATTGATTCCCTCTTTGCTCCTTATAAGGGCAAAGTGAGGGATGTGGTTGGGAAGAGCTGATGGAGTTGTCTCTTGCTGCTTTTTTCCCCTCTGAGTTTGCAGCTCCTGAGTGGGATCTGAGTTGGAAAGTTTCTGCCTCTTTCATGCAACTTGGGCTTTACTTTTTTTTCGGCGGGGGGAACCAGCTTAATCCTCAACCATGTGGTAGTTTAGAGCTTAAATTTGGGCATGGCTGGTCCTTTCCCCAGCGTTTAACACCTCCAGTGTGTCTCCCACAAAGAACTAGTGCAACTAGCACAACCTTTAAGGCTTTTTTTTCCTTAGGAATGTGCTGCCATGTTGCCTTTGTCTGCTCTAACCCCTTGGGATTAGCTATGAAATGAATAAATTCTCTTTTTTCCTTCGAGCTTTTTGCATTGAATCTTTGCCCTAAAGAGTTTGCAGCTGTGAAACTCAAGTGACTTGAGCTGGTTACTAAAAAAACCCACATCCCTGAACAGTTGTGGCTGATCCAGCTGAGACTTTTTTTTTTGTAAGGAATAACACAACTGGGAGGTTGTTTTTTTTTCCTGGTGGATGCAAAAGAGTAACTGGTTGGAAAAGCTGCCGGTGTACATGTTGCAAATGGGAGGCAACTTCAAAGTCACTCCCAGGGTTTTTTTGCTTTTGAAGTTTTGCCTTTTAATCTGCTGATTTAAGGCTGGTTTGGCTATAAAACAGTTATACATTTCTATGGTACTTCCAATGGGAAAATCAGCTGGACAACAATAGGCTGCCTATAGCCAGAGCCTGGAAAATGCACTTCATTTGGATGCAAATGTTGGAGGTCTTTGGATCTCAAAAAAA